ACGTAAGGCATCTTCTTAACAATTCTGTTGTATCATCTTGATTTAAACTGTACCTGCTACTGTCACAGACTTTACATTATGAGTTGCTCCTTCCTGCAGGATCTCTTGGCTAATCCCAAGTGCTCATTGCTTGTAGCAAAAGACCCTGCTGACAGGACTGAGATAGTGATAACAGTGCATGGTGATGCTGTCCCTGTGAGTGGCAACTTTTGGTTCATGCTTCATCTTTCTTAATTAAACTTCAAGTACTCTATTCTTTTCTCATTCTTGATGCACTGAGTTGTGTCATCTCCAAGTTATAGCAAAGTTTAAATTCACCGTAAGCAATGGTGTAGGTTGCAGAAAATGATAAAGAAGCTATTGGTACTGCATACTTGGCAAGGCATCCGGATGCATTTTGGGTAATGTTTCATTCTGATGTTAAGTTCCCTATAATCAACAGGTGATAATTTGACTCAGGCAGCAATTCTTTTGCAGGTTGACTTTGGTGATTTCCAATTTCTGCGTATTGAACCCAGAGTCATACGATATGTCTCAGGTGTCGCAACAGCTGCATTGGGTTCAGGAGGTTAGTTTACAATTGAGCTCTTAAAGCCTTCATTTTTTGTTGTTTTTGTCCCTGTCTTGAGGATATGTACACGCTGTTCTCATCTAGATTATCAATTCAAGCTTTTTTTTTGAATAACAAGTTTCTTTATCTTCTTTAATTACTTTCAGAATTTAGCCCGGAGGAGTTTAGATTAGCAAAAGTGGATCCCATTTATCAGTTTTCCAAGCCTATTGCGGTATAACCTTCTAATTTGCCTCGTTTGCATTTTTCATCTTGTCATTTTGTGAACTGAGCTAAATCTTGTTTGTGCTGCGTGGCAGTCTCACATGAACAAGGATCATGGAGAAGATACAAAACTTATTGTGCAACACTCAACATCTATTCCGGTAATATGTGTTAGTCTATATTTAGTTGTGTGGGTTGCAGAATTCTTAAACATCTCAATGACTCTAGTTTTCGGTCCACCAAAATTTTGCTGGAAAAGAGTGTTAGTCTATATTTAGTTGTGTGGGTTGCAGAATTCTTAAACATCTCAATGACTCTAGTTTTCGGTCCACCAAAATTTTGCTAGAAAAGCTTGCTTTTCCAGCAAAACGAATAGTGGGATTTCTTAACTGTATGTTTTCATATCGCCCTTTTGTTGATTTGTCATGTCTGAGTTAAAAAAAAAAAAAAGGATCTCCAGCTTCTCTTTCTTGTGGTTGAGTGTGACATTACTAGGGGTCAAAGGCTATTAAAAACTGAATGTTACGTACGTTAAAAGTTTCCTCCACTGCAGACTTTGTAGCACCGGTTCATATTGTACCAATATGAATGTAACTTTAAGTTTGTTCTTCTCTAGGTTGATTTTGCTCACATACTGGACGTAGACAGCCTTGGTTTCAATGTCAAGGTGATTTTGAGTTTTTCAATTACTGTTTCATTCACCTTCATATAGTAATACTTTTCTCTTACATGTTAAACGGTCATAAAGATGTGGGGCTTAGAAGTTATGAACCTCTTTACGTTGAACGTCTTGTATGGTAATTGCTGGTATCCCTGGAACATAGGATACCTCATGGCAAAATGGCCAAAAAAAGTTTACTCTAAATTAAAGGTTCTTTCTACTCACAATATCTGTTTGGCTTTGTCTCTTTAGGCTGGCTATCAAGGGAACACTTTAAAGCTTCGAATCCCTTTTACTAGACGTGCTACAGAGAGGAAGTGAGTCGTTCAATTTCTGATTAGCTGCAATCCCATGCATGATTGATACAGCTATTTGTTTTCTTTGCTGGAAGTAGGAGGCTGGCCATTTAATTTCTGATTAGCTGCAATGGCATTCATAATCAATACAGATATTTGTTTTCATGTTTTGAGATTGTAGTTTGACATGGTATAATATCATAATGTGGCTAAAGGATTGAGATTGTCATTGGATATAAAGAGTTGGTGAATGATTGTGTCGAGCAAAGATTTACATGTGAATATAGGAAGCAGAAAAAAAAATCTGCAGCTAGAAGTATCGAAAAGCATGGATTTTCCAGGCTATCACTTAATGTGGAAAAGGAAAGGAGTTATTGCCATTTTCTGCGAAGTTGCTTAAACTAGTGGTTTAGCTGATTCTAATTTTAAGGTGCCCATATGCATGTATTTAAGTTGAAAGGTATACGTAAAAGAAGGAAAATATTTCAAATTATCTGTTACTCTCCAGAAAGGATTCTCAATGTCATCAAGTGCCCTTATGTTTCATTCATTCTGTAATACTGATACCAAAACCTGGTTTTTCTTTTTAAAAGATTCTTTTTTCTTCCCCATATAAAAACTGAGTGAGCTGTGCCTTAACTGGCTCCATATGAACTGGATTAAGTGGAAACTAATCTGCTTGGTAATTTGCACTCTTTCCTTGCACATAAATACTTCCCCATACTTTCAGCAGTTAGTACTAAGCTCCAGGGTGCTGGGTAGGCACACCTTTGTAGCGGCTATCCGTCTACTGATGGTTGCTTCTATTAGACAGTTGAAAGTAGAAAGATGTACACAAATCAGTTTTATTTTGCTCTGCATCTTTTGATACCAGATCATTCTTTCTTCACATTGAAATACATTGTTAACTGTCAAGTCATAGGTTTAATAGTGCCACTATTATTGAATGCATGTGATTGCAGAACTTTGGTTTCTGATTATTTAATTATTCTGGCCAATAAACTTAGGCTTTGAAAATGGCTTCTGATGCCAAGTTTCTCTTTTTATGACAGAACACAAAATAGCATCTTAAGATTGAATGTAGCTAAAAAGAATTCATTCATTAGTTTCTTCTGATTCTAGGAGTCTTGTAAATGACGTCAGATTTCATGAGATAAAGTTCACGTGCCTTTTGTAAAGTGGTATTAGTTTTACTGTATGTTTAAATAATCCTTCTGTACTGGGCAAAATTAGTCTGCCCTTATCATGGTTTTTACCTTCATGAGAAGTTCTTTTATGTAGTCTTTTTTTTATCTTTTTCAGGGATGTAAAAACTCTCATAGTTGAAATGCTTGACGCAGCTAAGAGCCAAGCCAAGTGACTCCGCAGAAAAGAGTATAGCATATAGGAACAAGGTATGAACTTTAAATTTCTGCAAGTGTATCTGTTTGCTTTTAGAGTCCTCCACCATCTAAACGCCTCCTTTTGTTTCTACTGTGGCATGTCAAATTGTTTTTCCTTTACAATGGGCATATCGATTAAGTATATTGTAAATTGGATGTCACCACAATATCATTAGGATTTATGCTAGGGGCTGCAAGTAATATTCTGTGGTGAAGGTTTTGCTAACATAATGTAGTAATATATGCAGTGCAATGTTATTGTGGACTAGGGGCTACAAGTGTGCTGTTCATCTGGTAAGCTACTTGTGTTAGAAGAAGCTTGTTAGGTAAAAAACAAACCCAGCTTGGATCATATTTTCAGCTATATATATAATATTGAAGTTGCATTAATCTCTAAGTAGATAAGTTTTAATCAACTGTAGCAGATGATCTTGTTGAATTCAGAGTATCAGCGATGTGCGTAATATTTGTGATGATTGGATCAAGAAGCACATAAAAGCATATAAATACTCCCAATTCAATATTGAACATAGGATTTGCTGTAAAAGGAGAAATTGAAGCCAAATAGAACTTCAAATCAATTTGATGCTGTCTTCTATCTATGCAGGAAAGGCAAGCATGTAAACCATGATTTGTCAGAGTCAAAGGAGAGAGCAAAATACACAGGCCTTCGAACTTCTCTGATTTTCTTTATATTAAGTAGTAGTAGATAATTGTGGCATGAGCTTTCTACTTGGGTCTGCAAGGCTTCTTCGCTCTGATAGGCAAACCAGAGTATTGTGGAAATAAGAAAATAGTTGTTTCATGTAAACATGTTATATCATACATCCGGCGGTGGTAACTCTGAATGATAGTAAAAATCATGGGAAGCCGCTTCTCTATGTATATAATGATATGCTCCATAAGAATTTGTCTTCCTTTTTTTCTTGTTTAGTGATGGTGGCACAGGAGTATGGTTGGTTAGAGATTTGTTTCTCTTTCGAGGAATTGCAAATTGTTATGAACTTGAGATCGACGGAATGGCAAGGTTGTACTGCTAAGTCGCAGGATAAGATGTTCTTGGCACTCGATTGGTAAATCAAAATGTTGTATTGTTGACAATTTGTTATCAATCTTTGGTGAACGTCCAAATGGTTAACCTATACAACGGTAAAGGGGGCAAATAAATAATAGCTTGGTGATATATTTAGCAAAGGAAACTAGTTGACAGGGTATGCCTATGAATGCAGCAAATTTGACCAGTAACATCAAGGTATGATTTTGGCTTTTGGGTGAGGAGGCAAACTTCAAATGAATGGGAATGAACCCTCCACGTTCCTGTGGAGAGGCGGGCACTGGACTCTAACGCAGTAATCCTCCATATTTGACCATACATTATTGTCTATCTTTTTTTTATCACAACGATAATATTTATAGAACCTATTTTAACCTAATTTAAGTGGAAGAAAAATATTTATAGAACCTATTTTAATCTAATTTAAGAGAAGGAAAAGCTGACGAAAAACGTTAGTCTAACCTAATTGAAGCGGAGGAAAAGCTGACGGGAAAACGGCAAAGAAAGCTGTTTGAAATGACAATCACAATTAAATGGCAAATGCAAACAGCCCAAGAGGGGGCAGTAATCCTATCAATATCAACTCAGTCCGATCCAGTAATAACTATTATCCATTATAGAAAAGAAAAAAAAAAAGAAGATGGCAACAGATTCAATGTGGTAATTACAGAGAGTAAAGTCGAGAATTTGCTTGGTACCAAAAATAGAAATTTCTCATTTGAAATTGAAAAAGTAGGAGTAGTACTTTACTGTTAAGTTTGTTTGGACAGCTGATTATTTTCTCAAATATATTTGCTTATATCATCATTACAATTTTCAATACACCTTTTTATCTTCTCAATTACCTTTTTATCTCACATACATCACATCACAAAAAGTGCTACAGTAAAAATATTTGATTCTCAAATAACTTACAATCCAAACAAACCCATTAAAACTTGCTCCTCCAACCTAGGTTAGGGAGTCAGATGTAAAACGGTATCCTTCCATCTAATACCCTATCTCTATCCCTATCTAGCTGGCTGCTGCCGCTGCTTACATAGCATACCCGCTTCCGCAGAGTCCAGGTCAGGGCTCTCACCCGACCAAAGGCCAATCCACACCGCCGGCCGACAAACAACAAAGAACCAAAAAATTTTCAGGTTAATCAAGGAAGCTCAGCTTCTGAATTGCAGAAACAGGCTCCTTCCTCCTCATCTATCTCCTCGTCTCCTCCATTCAATCAATCTGAATCGCTTTCAACGTTGCCCATGGCCTTCAATCCTCTTGGCCTCTGCATCAACAAGCAACACATGTACCCCAAATCAACAAAAGCAATATAGCATATAACTACAGTACTAGTAATCATCTCTTCCTACCAATCCGAGGCTTAAATGGTCACCTCGTAATCATATCATATCACCCCATATATTGCGCTCTTTTCCTTTTTCAGCCACACGAGAGGTGGGGAAAAAGAAAAAGATCCCATTTAAGTTCCAACCATGCCCCAGTCCACAGGCCAGTTACCATTTTAAAGTTAAAAAAAAAAACAGTTCTTTCCTCGTGTCCTAATCTTCCAAACGCCCCCAGCCGCCGCCGCCGCCATAACTACAAGTCCCTCATCCCTTATCCTCCCGCCATCATCCCTCCTCCGTTTCTCCCAATCTGTCCTAAAGGGAACCCAACCAAAACAGTGAAAGGGAAAGAGACAGAGTAGCAATCGTACCTTCTTAGAAATCTTCTTCTCCCGGACCTCATACCTCTCCAAGGACATGTCCGTTAACCAGGCTCCTGGGCTCACCAACTGCTCAACCAACCATGTAAGAAAAAGGTCAACCATCAAAAGAGTTCCTTCTTTTAACCAAACCAAACCAAATTATGTAGCTGTAAAAGGGAACAATTTTTTAAAATATATATAATTTTTTCAAAAAAAAAAAAAAAGGGGGGGGCTTACAAGTAGAGTTCTTTGGATGACTTTTGCCCTCTTCTTAGGCCTCTGAGGAAGTTTACAACCTTTCATGGCCATAAAGTCTTCTTCTTTTTCTTTGCTCGACAGAGCAACATAAAGCTTTGGCCATACCGGAGCTACCGCTGCTCCTCCTCTGCTGCTGCTGTTGTTATGACCATTAATACTATTATTGTTGTTATGGCCATCCCCACCAGAAATTCCTGCTGCACCAGCACCGCCATGGCCGTCCACTACTAGATGATTGACCTTCCCACCATAATTGTCCTCCAAATTCCCCACCACTTGCACTGATCCTCTCGTCGTGTAAGACCTATCCTCCTCCGGCGACACCCTCCGGTGGCTCTCCGATCTCAGCGTCACTGCCGGCTCTGCTGAATTCCTGTTTCGTAACACAAGACACCAGATCAAATACTACCCATGTCTCAGGCCCCTTCTTTTTCCTTTCCTTTTTTCTTCTATCAAAAAAGAAAAATGAAACCCCCTGCCCCCCCAAAATTGAAAACTCATCGAACATGCAAGATTTTACATTTCCACTGAAATTTTCCATTAGACTAAGAATTCAATTGGCCTTAATTTTCCAAACCCACCCCAAAGATTCACAAGAAAAAGCTTCTCTTTTTTTTTGTCATCCCCTTCTATAGGATTTGCTCCAAAATTCTCTGCACTCATCCGGAATGTTTGAATTTTGTCAGTAAAAAAAAAAAGAGATGTAAACAATACCTTGTGAGGCGAGAGGGCGGTTGAGTAAAAGATGATTGCTTTTCATCATGGGACGAGACAGAAAGGAATCTAGAAGAAGTGATTCTGCGGCGAATTCTAGTAGAAGCAGTGGTGGCAGAAGAGAGGTCAGAAGCAGAAGAGGATGAAAGGTGGTGGTGGTGGTGGTGGTGGTAAGGGGGACTAGTGTTGCTTCTGATTCTCACACATCGGAGTCTTTTTCTGTTACCCCACTGCAAGAAGAATTCTGTTTCCGGTGGCGTCGTCATCATACTCGCCCCCCTCTCATTCTTCTCTTCCTTCTCCATCTGCGTCTCTTTTTAACTGAAACACACCAATCGAAAGAAATGATGAGAAATCAGAGAATTCCCCAGAAAACCATTAAGAAGACTGAAGAATCAGTTAAATTACGACTAAGATCTGAGCGTTCAGAACGGACGAATTCACAGAAACCCCAATCCTGCAAATCCTGAGCATACAGAGAAGAAGAAGAAGAATATCAGAGAGCCTGATGGGAAAATGCAAAGAGTAAGCAGATTGGTAATATTTAAAACGAAAGCTTGCCTTACAATCTGAAGAACCTCCAAACCCCCCCAGAAAAAAAAAAGATTCTTTTTTTCTTTTGCCCAATTCGGAGATAACCCCAGATATCAAAATCAAAATCTCTTCCGTTTTTTCCCCTTCTCGACTAGGTAATATTGTTCAAATGCTTAGATGGGCAAGCAACATGTGGAGGTTTCTTCCCCCCTGAGAGTCTGTTGGTGCTGTGTTAAGACTGTTGGAAGAAACAAGTACAACAACAAAACTATTTATGAAGACGAAGAAATGCAGGCAGGCAACGAGGAAGGAAGGAAGGAAGAGGAAAGGAGAGAAGAGAAGAGGGGAGAAGAGGCTTTTGGTGGCTTCTTTGTTTTGCTTTCTTACTTCTTCCTCCCCTTATGCTGCTGCTAATGCTATCCCCTTTTAATCTTCATTAACCCAAAATATATTACTACTACATAATGCCCAAAACGAAACTCTGCACTCAGAAGATGAGGAAACCTGTCAAGTAATGGTGACCGTAGGATTTTCTCATCCTACGGTCCACGATTCAGGAAAAAGTGCCCACTACAACGACAAATGGGAGTATCAAAGAAATAGCCTTCCCTCGTCGGTAGTCGTTGGACCTCCGCGTGAACTTAATTGGACGGAGTTTTGGATCATTCACGATTTTTGGGCTGAAGGTTACGGCTTCTGTTTTCTTTGACTTAACACCATGGGCTTCCAGCACAAGAATTTGTAACTCGAAGGCTCACCCAAAATTTTTTTTTTTTTAAAAAGAAGGCTCACCCATAGTCTAATCTCCCCTTCTTGGACCACTTTTGGGCTTTCTCAGACAGTTTTAAGCATTTTTTTTTCTTTGTTTTGTGATTATTATTATTAGTTTGGATGACAATACTACAATAGGGTTGGCAGCAAAGATATAAGAAGATTTTATTCATTGATTGGTAACACCATGGAATGGATGGTGAGCAAGTGATCAATTGACTTAGAGCCATGATTTTATGCTAAAAAAAACATTTTTTTTGTTTGGATTGAAGTTTGTTCTCAGAAAATTTTTTACGTTTTCTGTTATCATATCTTTCAAACACCTTTTTACCTCACGTACATCAAATCGTTACAGTATATATTTCTACTAAAAATTCAGAAAAATGGCAATCCGAACGAGAAGTTATCAAGCTACCATACTAACTCAAGGATTCACCTTCACCGTTCACTAGGGGTATATAATATGGATTTCCATCTCAGAGCGCTGTCTGCTACCAAATGAACTAGTACATGAGAGCATTAGGTTTTTCATTAATCACAAGCTCAGACATAGACATTATTGTATATCCTTACAATTTTGACTTAGATGATCGTGTTGTATTGACAAGGAAGCAAGGAGTAATGGGTACGTCTTTTTGGTAGTTGGTACATTTGCCTAACTTATTTAGAATTTTGGCCGGTCCCTATTGGGATTCGATATAAAGCTTTTTAAAAATTACTTTGCGCAGATTATGGAGAAGACGATAATAAATTAAGCTCATTCCAACCTGCCCCGACAAAGATGTTAGGTCATTTGTTCAATCATTGCCTGGCATTGCAAGTGGTTAATCCAACGCTTCTAATTCAACTGAACCGTCTTTGTATGGAGAATGTGTTACTAGTGCAACCATTCAAATGAGTGAGCAAGCTGATTGGGGATTGAGAGGAGGCGGTGAGGAGAACTATATGTTGACCGAGTTTTGAAAAATAAAATGGGAAAATTAATATGCCTCTTTGTAATTGTAGGAGAGTGATCATATTATATGATCGAAACTTTCAACCTTATCACGGGTAGAGGAGAAAATGTTTTGACGCTTAGTTGAGCTATGAGTCCTATTAGGGGTATAATCGAGTCGAGTTGAGCTAAAAAATTTGGATTTGAGTTCGAACTCGATTTTATTTTGAACTATTCGAACTCGAGCTTGTACTTGTCAAACGTAATCGAGTTTATTTCGAATTCAATCGAGTCTAACCAAACTTAAAAAATATAATTTTATATTTTATACAATTTTAAATAAGGAACAAAGTAGACATTTCATACTAATAAATAAAAAATTAAAAAAAAAACATATATGTATATGTGGAATTCGATTGAGCTCGATGGAATTTCGAGTTTTATATATTAGGTTTGAATTCGACTCATTACGTAGTTTGAATTGCTCGAACTCGAGTTCGAACTCCGTCAATATGAGTTCGACCTCAAGATTTGACCAAACAAATTCGCGAACACTATTCGATTGAATTCGATTTGTTTGCATCTAGGTCAACGGAATAAAACACTAATAACTTTGGGGTAAGAACATTATTATTATTGTCGTGTACAATACATTGGTTACAAAGCCAAGCAAATATGTGTGGCTGCCAACTAATATCACATTTTCTAAGTTTCATCGACTCCAAAATTATAGCACTGCCGTTTTCAAATTAGAAGGAGAGTACAGGCATGATTTGGTGCAATTCCTTGCAGCTTACAATGGTGGAGGCTCAACATGAACAGACCCTATATAACACTGAAGGAGTTTGTTTTGATATTGAAATTCTTCCAACCCAGCAAGCATCTCTGCAGTCCATAAATGAATACTCTCTAAAATATCTTCATTCAACAACAGCGAAAGTAGTGATTGACGAACGATGACTAATATATAATAATAGGTAGGACTGGAGCGAGTACTTAGGACAGAATAACACGAATTCAACCTCAGAACACGCTGCAATGTGGATGGATACACTCGGGCGGTCGTCTGTGCTCAATCATTATGGTCCGTCCGTATGATATTTTTATTGTTATTCAAAATTTTTAAAGAAAGAAAGAGAAGAGCAATGGGATTAGCAATCGTGAAGGCTGGCTGCTGCTGTTGGTTGATCTGCAGGAGGAGGGGCACATATTGATAGTATCGTTACTAGGACTGTCAATGGAGTCGAACCAACCCGAGTTCGACTCGTTTGGCATGACAAAAAATTTGATGAACCAGATCTTTCAGCGAGTCGATCTGAATTTGAATCTAAAAATTATATTCGAATTAAATATGAGTTGAAATTGGATCTTATTAGATTCAAACCCGATATTGGTCCGATTCTTTAATTACGTATATATATAATATTTATATTTTGATATTATATATAATTATATATCCAAATATATTATTACTAAATACTAAATACATATAAATTACAAAACACAAAAATACATATGAAGATTCTTCTATTAGCTTTCTTGAGAACCATTAATATTAATTAGTAATACATAACTGAACCTCTAACTTTTCTTATTGGTCAATTAAATTTTCGTGTTGGCATAATATTGATTGATTTCTTTTTGGTCTACAAATACAAATCATCAGACATGTTTGGATTCAAATCACAATGCTATAAAAAAAAGTTTCAATTTTTAAAGATGTATTGACTTATGACCGAATGTTTTATTATTATTTTTCATGTGTTTTGAACGAATTAAATATAAATATTATTAAAAAATTTTAATTTATATACTTTTTAAGAACTAATATTATTTGTTCATATTTAGTTTTAACTTTTAATATTGTAGTCTTGTAAATGTTAAGAATGGAATGGAAATGGAAATGGAAAGGATGGAGCCCACCAAACCAGCGCATTGAACCGTTGGCGACAGCTGTGCGCCACCAAAAGACGAGGACACCCTGTCCAAGTCAAACAACCCACGGCCACGGGCAGGGCAGCCCCTTAACCGCCCGCAACACAACGGGCAGATTAATTCTCTGACTCTGACCGTTCAAACTAATAATAATTAAAACAATAATAAAAAAAAGAGGCAGGAATTATTAAGCAATTTTTTTTTTAAAAAAAAAAAAAAAAAAAAGGGAAGAGAAAGCCGCATCATCATTCATCATCTCATGCGACCGTGAGAGAATCAAGTCAGCCCAACGGTCTCTTCTCTTGCAGCCACACACAGACACGGCCCTCTCCAGTCCTCTCCCTCAACTCAAAACGGTACTCTATAAATAACTAACACCAATTCTCCAATTGCCATAATATTCATTCATTCATCATATTTTGCTAATTGTTATTCTCTCTCTATCTCTCGTCACCTGACCAATTCTCTCGACGACAATCAGCAATGGAGGCGATGAAGGTATTTTTGGTTGCCGTTATGCTGATGATGGTAATGGCCGTCCAGAATGTGGCAGCTTCCGAGGGTCCATCTCCGGCTCCTTCTCCAGCTTCCGATGCTTCCCTATTTCCTCCCACTCTTTTCGCTTCCGTCGCTGCCCTTGCAATGGCACTCCTCTTCTAATTTCCCAATCTTTCATTATTTTTTTATTTTTTTCCTCTCTGATATATATATATATATATATATATATATATATATATATATTATATAATGGGAGGATGGATATATTTGTGTAGAGCTTCTCTTTTGCTAAATTAACTCGAATCTTCTTCCCCCCCCATGCCTCCTCCTCCCTCCTCCTTCTGGGAATTGAGCTGGTGATCATGGGAAGGGAAGGAGCATTTGAGATTCTTTGCATTTTGTTCCCTTTTTTTATATATATATATATAAAAATAAAATCATCTTTTTCTGCAGCGGCTATTCTTTGATGTTTAGTTTGGGGGATATATCATGTTCATGTGTCCTTGGACAGATTTATGTAATCGCCACTATTTGTACTTGGTATTATTATTATTGATGTATTATTATACATAGATCAATCCTGCCCTGAGGCCGGCCAAACATTTGTGCTTCCTTCCTTCCTGAGCATTTATTTTACCACCATGTATCTCTTCATACTTAAAAAATGCTTCTTGGGGGATAGACTTTTTGCCGTCCCATTTGTTGAATCCGTAGTTCAACGAACAGCAGCAAACTGCAGACTTTTGAAGCCAACCAACTCCGCGCGGCATTCACAATAATATCCTAGAAAAAGAATATAATGCGCTTGCTTTTTTTTTTCTTTTCTTTTCTTTTTGGAGTGGCAATTGATGATGATGACAAGCTTTTAATTAAAATGATAATCAGACTAATTGCATACACAGAAGAGCGACAAATGGACGGGGGAGTGAGTGGTGGTGTTTCATGTTTGGCGTAGGACACAGATAGATATCCAGTGATCCACATGCAAAGCCAGGAAAAATATCTTAGCCAGCGACCCCAGCAAAGCCACGATGAAGAAGATGATGTTGGTTGGACAACAGTTGTCAATTATATTTGTGTGGATGTTTTTGGGAATCATTATTAATGTCTTCTTGTCGTCGTTGTCGGTGGCATAGTTTGGGTCCGCTCGCTGGAACCGAAAGGCTGCTGCTGCTGCTGGGTAATGGGTGGCTGCACGTGAAATTTATAAATTTGAGGTTGTGATTACATTTTTTTTGAATTGCCATCATCCACTCCACTGCACTACTTCTTCTGCGCTCCTACAACAAAATCAGACAATTG